TCGAATAGAGGATCAATTGTATCTTGGTATTTTTCGTTTCCCTTTCATCAAATAATACAAATTATCTACTGTTTCGCAATTTTATGTCGATTTTTGTGAAGAATTCTCGCTATTTTCCGAAGATTGTTAGGAAATACTTGAGATATACAAGTGTTTCCTATCACTTTGCTGGCGAGCTCACAGAAATGAAGAAGGTATAATTTTTTTGCTATTCTAATTTATTGGTATGCCCATATATATTAGTTACTCATTATAATCCTAGGTGGATTATTAATACAAGAGCTAAATAGAGATAAATGAGCATTTGTAGATTATTATTGAGTACCACTATGTAGAAAAAGATTATTCATAGTACATAGAAGCTAATTAAATATGTTGGGCCGGGAATCAATTAAAACTTACCATACAAACTCTTATATCAAAAGAGACTACTTTAAGAAATCTATAAGTTAAAATTATATAGACTTACACATTCCATTAGAAGAAGGGTGTATTGTAAGTTTTGATGATTGTTCTAACTAAGAAGATAGATATCACATGTCCCAAATTCTTTATAGAAATGAGATATACATCAAATATATTTTATGATTTATGAAGTGCATTTGGTTTGATATTACATTAGCAGTGGGATTTATAAGCAGTTGTTAAAAGTAATCTAATCCCAAATCATTTGCGAGCCATAAAGAGATATTTTGATATATCAAGAATACTACCAACCTAGCTTTATGTTATTATGGTGAATATCTAAAATTGATTAGTTATACTAAATGATTGATTATAAGGAGAAACTTAAGGATGAGCAAACTTTCACATTTGGAAATATATTCTTGCTTGGAGATGAGCTATTGCAATAAGTAGTTGTGTATTTTATTATCTAATATGGAAGACGAGTGAATAACTACTTGTGTTGCGAGTAAATAGGAGTTCATCTACGGTAGAAGATTTATTATATGCATTGGTTTTTCAACCAAAGACATAACTCATCTTGGTATGTTGATTGATAGCTTAGGCTACCAACTAAGAGGTCTTGAGTTCAAGTATTGTCTATGCGATGTGTGTGTGAGTCTGCCTTAATTGGCCTAAATGTCCAAAAAAAAAAAGTATTTCAACCAAAACAAAGGAAGATATATTATTCTACAATGACAACATTATAGTTATTGTGTGCGCCAATGATCCTAAGTTCAATGGTAATGCTAAGAATATACCTTTAAGATATCATTTCAAACAAGATTACAGAGGAATATTGGTTGGTTTATTTACTTAGCCAACAACAAGGGATGCCTTCCATAATCATATTTAAAGATTATTTCTTTGGATAATCATTAATACATAATATATTTTCAATTAAGTTCTATGTTGGATGCTTAAAAAGGTTAAAAAAAATTCTGATTAAGTTTACTTAAAATTTCTAAAGCAAAATCAAATATTTATTTATTTTGTCAAATTAACATTCATCAAGTTATTCATAATATAGTACCAATTTTGTACGTATAATTAATTGGAAGAATAGAAATAAATCACCAATAATGGCGTCCTTATATGCTTTGATAATTGATATTCTTGCCATGATTATCTGGGCATATTTTTCTTCATGTAAATAATATCTTCAATAATATTGTTTCTATTTCATAAACTATATAGTTTTAATATATGTTAAAGTTATGTTTTTGGTCTTTTAGATAAGGGTGTAAACAAGTCAAACAAAGCTCGAGTCACTCTCAATTTAAACTTGAACTTGATTAATTAATCAAGTTCATACTAGCTTGATCTTCAATTTAATTTTATAAATTTCAATTGAGCCGACTCATTTATCATAAAATAGAGGAAAATCATTCTTATTCAAACATTTTATTGTAAAATATGTTGAAAAATTAATAATAATTCAATAAAAATTATTAAAAAAATCACTTAAAATAAGAATAAAAATATAAATTTGTTTAGTAACTTTATACTAAATTTATTGAATTTTTATATTTATTAAATGTATTTAATATAAACATTTGTTGAAGAAATTAGCTCACAAACTAACGAGTTGGCACAAAATTGGGTTGTTTGCTCAGGCAACTCCCCCTAATAATTTTGGATGAATTCTTAACTATAGAATATCTTCAGTGCAAATTAAATGAATTATACTAAAAATCTTACGCTATATTTCTTGAAATCCACGCAATGAACAATTTAGGAAGATGCAAGCTTGCATTGAAATATTTCCATTTTTTCATAATTTCCTTATTTTCGAGTGTCATCTCAGATCAACAAATCCTGCAAATCGACGGCGGAGATTATCTAATAAATGTTCATATATGAAGCAAAGGGCCCACACTTTCTCTCACTAGAGGAAATTATTAAAAGAGGAGTAACCCGGCTTTTATACGGTACTAATTCACTCTCACATCACCGAACTTTTATTTCATCTGCTGAACGTACGCAACTCTACGTTCGGCCACCAATAAAATCGCGCCACGCGTTTTCATTATTTACCGCGCGCCCCGACAACTCGACCCGGAACGGATCCAAGATTGCTCGGTATTGTTAGGTATTGGTCGATTTTGCTCGACAATAACCAATACCGAGCAATACCGAGCAAATACCTAGCAATACCGAGTTGTACCGAGTTTTTTCTAGCAATATCGAGTAAATACCTAGCAATACCGAGCAAATCCCTAGCAATACCGAGCAAATCCTGAGCAAATACAGAGTTGTACCGAGTTGTAAAAAAACTCGGTACAACTTGGTATTTGCATGGTATTGGTCTTCACAGAGCAGTATTTCTCATTTTTGCAAAGCAATACCTAGCAAATACCGAGCAATACCGAGAAAATTGCGAACATAGCATTCCCGGGTTCCGCTCCGGGTCAAGTCGTCGGGCCGCGCGGTAAAGAGTAAGAGCACGTGGCGACATGTTATAGGCGGCCGAACGTAGATCTACGTCTGTTTTTTTTTTTTTTTTTTGGGATTCTTGTTTTTCATTTAAACTCTATTAATTAAGGGGCCGATTGGAATTTTTTTTTTTTTTCAAGACATAGAAACTGAAGATAGTGGTTTAAAGTTTAGTATTGTTTAAGAATAGGAGTAGAGAGAAGATTATGGTAACCAAGACTAATATTGTTGAGAAGGATCCTCTAAATTGTTAATTTCTCCATTGCAAACCCTTTTAAGTTAATAACAAAATTTTGATCCCTAAGATATTAGAAGGTGCTCCATCATCATTTATTGGCAAAAGGAGAAATTATGCATAGCACTAAGTGCTATGAGGTGATGGAATTGTAGTTGTTCAATCAAATGCATGGCAATAATTTTGTGGATCCATGCAAGTGTTGACTTAGCAATTAGAGTTACTCGATCGGCAAGCAAGGCAACATTGACTTCACGAATATAATAGTCAATTGCTAATTGCAAAGATCCATAAATCAAGCATGGAGATACTCAATGCGAGCAAAAGTGTAATAGTTGGAAGATTCACCAACATGGTGTTCATCAACCTAAATATAATGTAGAAATTGTATATCATTTTTGTTGCGGGCTAGAATATTCGCAACGGCATATTGAGTAATTTTTTCGTCTTGATGATGCAAGAATATCCAGTATACAAATATGTGATTTATTAGAGAGATAGAGAGAGCAGTAAAAAAGATATATTCTTTCCGTGAAAAACACGAAAAGAGAAAAATCATGGGGTATATATTGCCCAAGTGAAAAGATTCCACTAAATTTGAGTGAATTATAAAAGTTGATCCGTCCATTGACTTGGATGTCGTGGAATTACAAAAGTTTGAAGAGTCGGATGAAGGTTCGGTGATGGTCGAGTGGAAGTTCAACGGAGTTTGGGCAAAATTCTAGCAACCGAGTGATGATCCGATGATAGTTAGGCAGAAGCCTGACGACGGTCGGCGACCAGGCAATAGTCAGAGGATGGTCGGGTAGAAGTCCGACAATGCCCAACGGCTGGGTGGTAGTCTGGTGGTGGTCGGCGGCTGAATGGTGATTCAACAATAATCAAGCAAAAGTTCGATGACAGTCGGTGACCAAGTAGAAGTTCAACAAAAGTCAGCGACCGGGCAGTGGTCCCACGACGGTGGGAAGAAAGTTTGGAGGCGGTCGGTACCGAAAGGTAGTTTAGCAGCAATGGGCGATTAGGCGGTACTAGTCCGACGACGGTCGACAGAGGTTCACCGACGATGGTGCTGGAGCTCTTGAAATCTCAGATTTCTCTCCAATCTTCAGCCAAAGATCCCAATCCCCATTTATATGAGAAGTGATGATTTATTTATAGATTTTTAGTCTGAATATAGAGAAGATTTGGGGCAATTCGAAGTGCTCCATTAGATAGTCCATATTGATCCCCTTGATCTTAGAGCATTTTCCAAACATTTTTGTGCCCAACGATGTCAGAATTAAGCGATCTTGCTCTCGATTCAAGTGTAAGCATATTATATATGGATATCATGTGATCTTCCTATTTATGCTTTGAACCTTCCAAATGTGTTTCTGTTCTTTGATTTGGACCCATTTGAGCTCAGATTTAACCGATTTTAATGTCGTTGGATTCATCTCTTTGAGACATTTATTTTGACTGTATAAGTTTATTGAAATCAGAGTTTGGATGATCCCAAATTTAACTTTGGAAGTTTTTCATTTGAATATACCTCATATTCGTGATCGATCAAGACAATTTTTGTTGATGTATCAATTGTCATGATTTATTTCCTCAGCCATTACTCTTTTTCTTCTAAAATATACACTTGATGGTTCCTATAATGCAAGCTCTCACAAAAACTATAGAAATTCATGCGCTAAGTGAGAGTTTAAATATCTACCAAAGAACTACATCAAAGCTAGTTTATGAAAAGTTGACAATATAACATTTAAAAAAAAAAAAAAAGAACATAGTTGAATTGGTTGGATTTTAGGATAACTTCAATTATATGATGAAATAGATGGAATATATTCCCCATCGAAAAAGAAGAAGAAGAAGAAGACTAAGTTAATGTTTGACATCCTAATCGTTTGTGGCACTCAGAATTATTCAATTTTGACTTTCGTAACTTGTTGGAATTTGAGTCATCCAGACATCCAGGCTAAGCTTTAAACTGACTTGACTTAGCTACAATCGAAACCCACAAAGACGGCTGATTAAGCAGCAGCTGTTTGTATTAATTCCCCTATTAATTCTCTCAATTCCAAAGCAAGAAATTACTAATTAGGATTATACTCTTCAAGCCAAATTAAAAAATAAAATACTCTTCAAGCCACGGGCCAACCTAGCCCAAAAAGCACGCAGTAAATCCAATGAAATTGACACACGTGGATAGCGTAATATATTGTTTGCTGTTCGGAAGTTGCAGAGGATCCGTATATAAGAGCTGGAAGAGCGGGACAAAGGAAGAAATAGTTAGGAGCGGTTAGTTTGGCATGGGCCTCACTCTAAACACCTCGAGATCCCCTCTTCCGTCCCACGTGGCTCCATCGAACCGTCCGATCCGTCGCGTAGGATTCTCGGTTCGCCACACGTGCTACCTCTCTTTCTCTCTCCCTCTCTTATTTCTCTCTCTATATCCTCTTTCCTCTTTTAACTTTGCTTCCATGCATGGATTTCTCCTTCCACCATCCTTAAAGCACAAGAACAACCCAGAGAGAGAAACGAATCAATCTCCACCTCTCTCTCACTAGTTTCTCACTTTTTCACTCACCCTGAGAGAAGTGGAAGCGAGCATAGCAGAGCTCAGATCTGCTGCTGGTCAAAAGAAAGCAAACAAGCCGAGAAGATATATAGCCATGAATAGCTTCCACACAGATCAGTGAAAAAAACCTTCAAAATTGAAGCGACAAAGCTTCGGCTTCTTGAATTTATTTCTTTATCGGCGAGTCTCCCCTCCCCTGTTTTCTTTTCTCTCTGTTACAGATGGAGAAGCACCGATGCAAGATTTGCAGCAAGTGTTTTCCCTGTGGGAGATCACTTGGAGGCCACATGAGATCACATATGCGGTTCTGCTCTTCGGTAAAGGAGAAGGAGAAGCTCGAAAATAGCTCATATGTGCTTAGAGAAAATCCCAAGAAGACAGGTATGCTGTTAGATTTCGCCGGAGAAGATCCAACATCGTCGTCGTCTTCACTGAAGACAAAGCAGTGCAAGGTGTGCGGCAAAGAGTTTCCTTCTTGGAAAGCTCTGTTCGGTCACATGAGATGTCATTCTAACAAGATTTGCCGTCGAAGCTTTGAAGCAGAGAAGCAAGAAGAGGATCAAGAAGAAGAAGAAGAAGTTTCTTGGAAGCACCGATCGATGCTGACTTCAGCGGCTTCATCTATAACTGAGTACGAGCAGGAGCAAGAAGAAGTCGCCATCAGTCTCATGATGCTGTCACGCGACGTTGGCGGTTACTGGTCGATCGCTGCCGACTCATCCGACAAGCAATCCGAGGTCATGGAAGACGACGGACTGATCAAGCGATCCGAAGAATTCGGAGGTTTCGACTTGGAGTACTCCGGTGAAGAATCCGGAAAGCAAAAGATTATGACTTTAGCTGAATTTGGGAAGAAAAGAGCAAGGATTGCTGAAAAAGGAAGTGAATTGAATGCACATGAGGCAAAATTGGGAATAATCGAGATAAAATTGGAAAGCAGATATCAATGTGCAGCCTGCAAAAAAGGCTTCCACTCCTACCAAGCTCTCGGCGGCCACCGAGCCAGCCATAAGAGAATCAGAGGCTGCTGCTTCCAGAATCCCAATGCCAATTTCGACGACAAAACTGAGGCATACGTCGAGCACCTGACGGTAGTGGAGATGGAACATTCCTATTCTGGCCTGTCAAAGAAAAGCAGAATTCATGAATGCAGTATCTGTGGAAAGATTTTTTCCTCGGGACAGGCATTGGGAGGTCACAAGAGGTCTCATTTAGTGTCTACTGCAGATGCCAGCAGTTGTGGCGATAATGCGGCCGCAGTGGCGGTGACGGCAGCCGCAGTGGCGGTGACGGTTGCAGCAGCCGTTGAGGTCCCGGAGCTCCTGGATCTCAATCTTCCAGCTCCTGTCGATGATGAATCGAGCAATGTGAAGCCATGGTGGAGTGGTGAGAGCATAGAGCATGAGCAGAACAGTATAAATTTGATTGATTTCTAATTGATGAAGAAAAGAAGGGGATGCAAAGATGAGCTCTGTACAGATTCTGCGATACATTTGGTGAATCTACTATCTGATTGGTTAATTCTTGATTTTTGGCTTGATACGCTAGCTTTATACTCTACTAATTCAACCTTCCCATATCCTTATATTACTCGAGCTTATGAGCTACCTGGTCAAAAAAAAAAAAAAATGCTGTTCCACTAGAGATTTTAATTTTGCTGATTTTGTTCTGATATATGACATGAACTTGAAAGAACTGGATTCCTTACTTTTTCTTCTATTTTCTGAAATGTTTACGATAATTAGCTTGATTAAAATTAGCTTTGCTTACTGTCTTGAATGTTTCCAGTGCTTGCTGAAATATGTAAATTTCAGAAATTTAAGTCAGTAAATTGGTACAATGACTCTTTCTTGCTTACTGTTTTTTTTTTTTTGGAAATAAATCTTTGCCAAAAGACTGATTTAATTACATAATCTTTCAAAATTTGGACCAATTAAGTAGCTGGCACTTATTATGCTCCATACAGGAATTCAGTGAAAAGTCTAGCTTACATGTGGGAGCTTTAGCATATTGGAAATATGCATAATATATGAACTTTGGTATCATAGCATGGTTATTGAAAGAATTGAATTGTAATTGGAGTTGTAGGATTTAATATGTATGAGAGATAGAAATTCAAGGGTAAAGATTTCAATATTTATATATTTGACTCATTAATTGCATATGCATGCATGTTGTGCTTATATGCTTGATTGATTAAAAAAAGAAATATATGAATTTTATCGGATGAGATTTAAACGGACATGCTTTTATAGAGATTGATGAATTTAAAATCATATATGGTGGTTATTAGTTTGGAGCAACCAATGGAAGTGGTAAAACCATAATAGCTTTTGCTTTAGATTATAACTTTACAATTACTAATACCTTGTAAGAAAAGAGATGAGCATCTCAACACCTACAAGAAAGAATATAATAAAATTTAGATTGATTATTTTCTTATAAAAAATAGAATATTTAGATTGTAAAGATTGTAAAGTTATTCTGAGTGAAAGTTTAGGTACCCAATATTTCTTACTAGTTTTGGACTTTAAGTTGAAGGGGCAGAATATGAAAAATAAAGTAAAATATTTTTCTAGGATAAGATGGGGCCATTTAAAAATGCAAAAATAAAAATATTTTGATAGTAAGATTTGAGATCTTAAAATTTTTTCTATGCATGACGAAGGTAATGTTATGTGGGAAAAAGTAGCTAGTAATATTAAGAATGTTGTAAAGGATATGATTGGAGTATCAAAATAAATAGCTCAAAATAATAAAATAGTTAGTGGTGGAATCAAAATGTTTAAGAATAGATAAAAAAATAAGAATATTTGTTATAAAAATTTGTTTAGATGTAAATGCTTTGATAATTGAAAAAATATAAAGAGGCCCGTAAGAAGTCTAAGGAAGCAATTTATGATACAAATATTTATGATGTATATAATAGATTGGATACTAATGAGGGTGAAAGATATATGTAAAAGTTAGCAAAAATAAAGTGATAGGAGTGGTAAAGATGTAGTTCAAGTGAAGTCCATTAAGGATGAAAATCAAAAAGTCTTTTTATAAGAAGAGGATATTCAACAAAGGTGGATGAGATATTTTGCTAAGCTTTTCAATGAAGATAGAGAGAATACAATTGACTTTAGTGACCTTAACACTCATGAAAATAAATATTTTTATTTTTATTGACCTATTAATAAAACTGAAATTATATAGATTTTCAAGAAAATGAGAGTGGAAAAGCTATTCTACCTTATGATATTAGAAGTATGGAAATTATTAGGAGATGAAGGAATTTCTTGGCTTACTAAATATTTTAATATTATTTTAAAGATTAAAAAGATGCCATATGAGTAAAGAATGAGTGTATTGATTCTATTTTAAGAATAATGGTGATGCACAAGATTGTGCTAATTATAAAGGAATTAAGTTATTGTGACATACTTTAAAACTTTGAGAGATAGTTTTGGAGCGTAGACTACGTCGTGATAGTAATATTTCTCAAAATTAATTTGGATTTACACCAGGCTGGTCTACTATGGAAGCTATACATTTATTGAGAGGTTTGATGGAGAAATATAGAGAGAATAAGGAGGACCTTTTTTTTAAAAAAAAAAAGCAAATGAAATGCTTTATTAAAGAAAATCAGCAAGTGGCATTACAAACAAAAGGCATCCGACTCCTTCGCTAACAAGTTACTGAAGGAAGGAGGGATCTTACTACTAACCACTTCTTCCCAAATAAAAGAACTAAAATAGGCATAGTTAGCAAAGTGATCTGCTAACTTATTGCTTCCTATATGAACAAAATTAAATGCAACCAAATTGAAGTTTCTAATAAAAGCTTCATTACCTCCTTTCTCTGCCATCTTCTTGATGAAATTGATATCATTCTTGTTATCTCCTTCAATGATCAAACCTTTATAGTTCATCATCCATTCTCTAATTACACTTTTCAACGAGAGTATGGATTGAAGTTCCATAGCACCTGGATCCCAGTGAATAAATTCTTTACCAAAGGCCAGCAAAAACCTCCCATGATGATCTCTAAAGACTCCTCAAACTCCGGCCTTGTAGGAGTTATGAATGGCTTCATCGATGTTTACTTTGATCCAATCAGACTGAGGAGGATGCCAAGTATTGAGCAACCTAGATGGTTGATTAGCACCCTCGTTGCCTGAGAATGTACAGGTGGCATATATGTACCCTGCAGTATAGAAAACCGCATTTGAAGCTATCATCATCAGGCTGAAAACGTTCTTCTCATGAACAAACAAATTCCTTGCTTTTCAGGAATGGTATATAGTATTGCAATATAGGCTTTTCACCCAAGAGCTTTGTGACTCAATCCATTTAAAACATTCTTCCAGAGGATGGAACATATGAATTCCAAACCCCCATTTGTTTAAAACTTCAACAACCTCTAGTAATTTACTGCATCCGTAAATGATGTGCTCAATATCTTCCACCAACTCACATCCTCTAGGACATAAGTCAAAGCCTTGAAGCCTTCTATAACATAAAAATTGGTTTGTTGGAATAACTTTGTTGATTAATCTCCACCAGAAAAGATTAACTCTAGGAATAAGTTTTAACTTCTCAAACCATTTCCAAATTATTTTTCCAGAAATAAAAAGTTCAACAGATTCAGAAGTTAAGGCTGTTATGGATTTACCAGAAAACTTATGAATAAGCTCCATTCGGTCTTCTCCCTTGACATGAATCTGAATAGATGAGATTAGCTCCAATAAATCCTTCCCAAAGAATTTATGTAGCTCTTGAATATTCCACCCTTCATTGCTTATGAACCTTTCCACCAATATATCATCTTCCAACATATAATTGACAAAGGTAGACCAATTCAGCAAATTTTTGTCAAGAATCCAAGTAACTTCTAGCACATTGATTGTTCTGTCGTCACCAACACTCCATCTAACTATTGGCTTCAAAAACTTACCACCATTATAGATTAATTTCCAAGATACCAAGCTGTTCTTCTTTGCTGAAGCTTCAAACGAAATTGGACCATATTTGGGGAATAAAACCTTATGCATAAGGGACTCTTTTTTCTTGACAATACCTCCAAGCTAGCTTTTCCCTTAATGGTCCTTCTTTTTTCAAGAAAGAGTTGATACCAAGTCCTCCCCTACTCTTTGTTTTACACAATAAGTCCCAGCTAGCATAGTGAAAACCAGTGCTTCCATCTCCTTTGCTCCAAATGAATTTTATGCATGCCTTCTCCACTTCATTCGGGATTTGTATAGGGCCATGGACATGGTTGAATGAAATGTCGGTAATGCAAGTAATACTGAATTCACCAAAGTAATTCTCCCAACTAATGAAATTAGCTTTCCACCCCAAATACTAAGCTTGCTCAATACTTTGTCCATTAAGAACTGAAAATCAGCTCCAAGTAGTCTCCTCAACGCCACCTTAGTCCCTAGATAAACAAATTCATGAAGTTCCCTGAACTTCATAATATTACAATTTTTTTCCTTCTCCCTTTCTTCACTGATCTCCCAAATAGAACTCCAAATTTTTGCAAATTAATTTTTTGACCCATCCATTCACAGAACTTCAAAGGAATACCTTTTACATCTCTAACCGATTTCAGATTTATCAGTGAAAACCATGATGTCGTCGGCATAGAGCAAATGAGAGACCTTGGTGTTAAAAAAGTTGCTATTTGCATGTTTTATATTCTTGCAACTTGTATAGTTTTGATGATTCCAAATATTATTGTTTTAATTTTTGTTTTCTCTTAACACAGTTTAGAAGATTTGTTTTTTTTTTTTTTTTTTTGCTCTTGTGTGAACTAACATTTCAGGAAAATTGAACTCTAGACTAATGAAGACTTCAAATTAAATTCAGCATAAGATAGTTTGTAAATTAAAGCTTGTATTATTCTTTAAATTGAGTTTGAGAGGGAGTGATTATAAACACAGAGGGAGTGATTGTAATTGTGTAGATAATCACACACACACTTGGGGAACAAGAAATTTATATTGATCGTATGAGAAGATCAAGTCAGTTATCCCCTCGGTAGAGAAATGGATCAAACAGGAAGAGAGAAAATTTTTTCTAAGTCCTGATCGTCCGGACGAAATTCCTTATTCATTCTGGGACGAACTCCTCTGGATTATCACTTTACACTGTTCGTCCATACGAAATGCATGATTCGTCTCTGGACAAAATCCTTTGGATTTCCAATTTGGTCTATTCGTCCCGACGAAATCCAAGTTCATCCCTGGATGAACTCCTCTGCACTTAGAGTTTACACTAATCGTCTAGAAAAAATTCACTATTCATCTATGCGTGAAATCCTTTGTCCAAAAATCGTCAAGGACGAAGATACGTTCATCCCAAGATGAAGTGAATCAACACTTCAAATTTTGACGTCGTCCTGCACTTTTTGGGAACCGACCTATGGAATAACCATTCGTACCAGACGAACCTAGTTCGTCCGGGGATGATGATTTGGTACGAAGGCAATTCGTATCAATATACATTGGGTTCGGTCATAAGCTTTTAAGTAAATTCGTCCAGGATGATCCATGATTGTATGGGACGATCCATTGCGTGTTGACTTGAAAATTTTCAGTTTTTGGACGGTTTTTCTTATCTCTACTATATATAGTCCAATCTAGACTACCACCAAATCTTTTTTCCCATTGATCTTCGTGCCTATTAAAAGAAGAGTCAAGGAGAGAGTGTGAGAGAGCGTTCGAAAGAAGATTCTTACTACTGGAGCGAGAAGGCTTCACTTGGTGGTTAAAGGTAAGAGTCTATACTTTTGATTTGGAATTACTTCGCTCTTTTCTTTCTTCATTCTAGATTACTTGTGAGAAGATCTGTCAAGGAGATCCGATTCTTTGCCGGCACTTGGAGAGTGTAAACAGCTC